GCCTACTCCTAACTACGGGTACTACTGTTCACATAAAAAAAATCCGGCATTCTGTATGGTACGGCGCCCCAATATATTATCTGTGGATATGGGCACCCCCCATTCCCGATGCCACTATTACAGAATTCCTGAGACATCGTATTCCTCCAGAGAAGTATACACTTCTAAGTACCAACACTAGCTGTATCTACACAGTACATCTGCAAATACTCTTACAGAATTTATAAAATGAAGAAAGCGACACTTAATGGATACAACTTCTATTGGTATAAACAATCCGTAGGTTATAGACACATAGAAAACAGTTGTATTCAGGGAAGCCATTCTATTCAGATACACTGCCGCCCTTGCGCTATTTATATTCTTGAGAGGGGTTAATTCTTTAATAAGGAACGCGTTGAATCTGCTATAATTAATCACTAAGATACGGTCTAATCCAGAATTAATATTCCCTACCCAATCCAGATCAAGAAAGGCCCTGCTTGTATGTAGAGAGACTATCCGTGAACATATCATAATACTTCCGAAGTAGTGGATGATTTGAAGCAATAATGAGGCTCACCAGTGCTGAAACAGGAGAAGCTCGATGTGTGCATCACAAGTGATCTTTACCTTGTGATTTCCACCTCTCCCCTTCAGATAAGAAGAAGCATGAACGCAATCAACATACAGAAAAGTACCCCCAACTGGTCCTATGTTCTCTTCCGTATCTATTCTGCTGATATTGGAGAGGAATATTACAAATTTTGTAGTGGAATGTGTCTAAGCCTACTCATGCTTCTAGGTATCTACGCCAGCTGCATAGGAGATAATCCCTCGTGCTACATCACCGAATTCATAAATATTAGGAGGTCCATTTTTTGGTCTCAAATTACGTTGCCTGAGCACTCCTCGAAAAATTCTCCTCAGTTGAAATCCAGAATCCTTGTGAGTAAATATATAACTATATGAGTGAAATGATAGTGAATATTTGGCGTTATCATTCATGCTGGCGTGCTCATGTAATGGACTCTCTTTGTCTGTCTCTACCCTCCTGACGTTTCCAGTGCTCATTACCGTCGCCTCCTGGAGAAAAACGAGTCAGGGCACTCCCGATCCCATACATGCCAAATAAAGACGGCTAAGATTAAGAGAGGGAGATATGTAGAGCCCGTAACCAGACACTAATGCTTTTCTGAGGTATATTAATGTTCCTGATGTTCACCCAACCCCTCCTCTTATAATTAGGCGCCCCGTTCTGTAATCGCGCACGGATAATGTAACCTGTGCAATCATAATGGAAGTTACTAGTCTTGTTCACGCCTGGGGCACACGCTCCTGAGAATATTCCTGATGCCGTGAACTCTGGAGGAGCCTGCTGAATAGCGGCGCAGGCTTCAGTTTTTACTTCATTTTGTAGTTGTTCCCACGGTGCTTTTATTCCTACGGCATCTGTCACTCTCTCCCAACTAATAAAAGGGTTAGCAACCCCCGCACAGAACCACACCTTCAGTATGCAGGGGACCAGTTGACGCATGAGATCCTCCTTTTTTTCCTCTTTTTCTCGGGATTTTTCTCCGTCAACATAGCTCCGTAGATATAGAAGCATGTCTCTGAAATCGCCCTCATGATCTTGCGGAGCCAGCTCCTGAAGCAGGAAATTCAGTTCTTGATAATTGTTTCCATCAGTCGCTCTTGTGTTAATTGCCTTCCAGAATTTAGGGCAGAGCAGATCCCACCTGATATGTTTTCGTGTTTTTGAATTTAATTTCCTCATTTATAAGTGATAAGTCGTAGAATCAATTAAATGCGAATAAGACAATTATCTGCCCCATAATCCATGATTTATTATAACTGCTTCCTCTTAGAGAGGATGCGGTCATCTCTCTCATTTACTAATGCGTCCCATGTTGTGTTGAGAAAATTATGACGATGCGCCTCAGTGTATCTTTTTTTCTCCTATGTATCCTATTGCATTATTCATCAATTTATCCTATCCCTAATGCGTACATAGCCATGATGCTTCATGTTCTTGAATGTTCCTGTACTATTATATAGGTCAGGCTCCTTAGTACAGCGGCAGTAACGCTTATCTTTAACCCTTTGCAACATTATAGGTTTTATACTCTTCTTACAGAGATATGACATGATGTAATGTATTTCAATACTAACACGACGCTATAAGCGAATCCTGCACAATCTCATTTGGGATAAGATAACGTCTGAGAAGGCCCCCCGGATCGTGCATGAACTCATGACACCCATTATGTGTAAACATCCGTGGCGAAAATATATTAGCATTCTATGCAACCGCAGCGGGAACGGGTGTTGTGTGTTGATATTCTTATAATAAGTATAAGCATAAATTAGAAATAACTATTCCTGCTCTGCTTATTATTTAGGAAATCTGGGCCAACCTGTGGATTGGCAGTATGCAAATATGACGATATAATCGACCCTGCATCTTTTTGTAGTGCATATGATTAATTAGGACGAGACAGAATGAAAATTAGAGAGAAGACGTAGTGAGAGATTATGAGACGTATTCTCTTTTATAAGATTCTCATGATATAGACAGAATAACTTCTGAAGGAAGGATGTGTATATGTCAGGGGGGAAATACTAATTCTAATGCTATGAATACTATACAGCCATATATTGCTTGTTTAGACACGGTGCCTGGCTGTCAGTTACGTCTCATTTCCGATTTCTCATACGACGCCAATGAAGAGATAAAATCCAAAGAAGATAGCAACCATAAGTAAAGTCGATTCCGTGCCATTCGGAGAGAGTATCTTATTCCACTAAAGTTTCTCATAATTATACCGTCTCAAAGCAGAAACAGAGAATATAAATACATCTACGCCGTCATTACATGTCATTGCACATACTTCTAATGGATTAGAATATTTCATCAGTGCCTATGACTTGTAGAAGAAGTTGTCATTCAGCATTCATTGCAGCCTAAGTATTCTTTACCACTATAGAAACATATATATATCAATACACCCATGAGCCGTGGCAACACAACTGGCTGTGTCATCTGAATTTGGTCTAAACGTAAGAAGGAAAGTGCATTTGGAATAGTCATCTCCAATGTGTTCTTAGCTTACTCTATTAAAATTCTTAAAATCTCTATGTTTTCCCATATTTAGTGGCAACAAGGGTTTCATAGATTCTTGTGTTGTTCTCAGATTAGGCAACATGAACAAAATTATCCATAGTAATTTAATAGTCCAAGCACACATGTATTTGAGCAATAACTAGCCGCGGAACGGGGTATATAAAAAAAGGGAGACATTTGGTTCTGTAGTGATTTCCATTTCAAACAACCCCAAGTAGGAAAACAAAGAATTGAAGAAAGGGACGGAAACAAGCAGATCCATATCCACATTATGATACGAAGAGGGGCCATTACCGAAACTTAGATTAATAAACTGAGGTCCCGATTAAGAACGTCTCGATTTTGTCCTATGGTGAAGTTATTTCTAGTAATATTTCCTGTTTCCTGCTCTTCCTTTGTGCTACTCCTTTGAGGCCTTGGAGATATTGCTAATTGTTAGTGGCATATTATTATTCCGAATGTTTTAATGTTGAATATGACGATGCCCGTGCAACAGAGAAGAAATACAAGAAAAAAGGAGGAAGAAGGCAAGAGTAGCAGTAGTAAACTTAACCATTAAAACATCCTCAATCTTAATAGGACTATACAAGTATCAGCTTGCGGAGTGTTTACATCATTGTGAAACATCTGACAGGGGATTGATGTTTTCGAAAACGGATATAGCATATTTCTCCTCTGGGGTAATTTATATTATTGTAGAATCTATAATATGATTAATGTACCAGACAACACATAAGAAATCCCCACCAAAGAAGCGAGGTATCAGGAAATATCCTTTAATTATGTTCTGCAAAAGGCGGAAGAAATAAGATACTAAAGAACAGACATATGGACATAACAGAATCCAACACATTACATGACCTTTCCTTAGATAAAATGCCTTTCATAAGATATTGTCTCCATCCTGACATCCGGTTATATAACTATTTCGAATTGCAGCCTATGCCTCCTTCATAAAAATCATAGTGAAGCCACGCTTTATGAAATATTAAACCAGAAGTAGCTATTCCATAATATATATATATGCAATGGTATATATCAACATAAGTGTTTACAATATGTATTCTCATTTCAGCCCTACGTCGAATATAAGAAGATTACTGATTTGGAGTACTAAAAGAATAATTGCTCCTTGAAGTCATTTCCTGATACATCGTCAATTATAAATCACAGAGTGCGTAATCATAAGTTCCAAGGGACGCCTGTGATATGTATCCGAATTCTTCCTTTTCTTAGTATTTCTACCATAATACTGCGCCAAAATCGCTGCAAGCCTCTCTAGCGACTTGAGAATTGTTCATTAACATTCTTGAGAATATTGCTCATCCTCAATAGTATTGATAAATGCCATTGTGGATGAATCCTAACGACAGCCGCCGAATAATAATCCGAACATGTCGTGAATCTTAATTATTCTCTCCTGCATTCGTCTATTAAGAATATATTCTCCGCCGTCTTCTATATTATAATATTAATATTACATAAAAGTGACTGTTGAATTATTCCCTGTTATTATCATTAACCAAAAGAGTTTAACAGAATTTGATGCTGAGGATACCCCTTCTTTCTGAGAAGTCCTCAGTCCTCTCTTGATAGGGTACGCGTCACATACCTAAGTGTGATGAGCTCCTATATCCCCCAGTCTATATATAGATGAGACACCGAATAGAGATACGAAAAAGGGGAGAGGCTTATTCGCCAACATAAACTCAGTATTTCAAAATGATACACGCAATAAAAAACTCAGAGTTCTTCCTTTCTCTTCCTGTGCAGTCCTATGTCGATAATTATGAATCCATATGAATATATAAGTCCCTATACTTATAAGGGACCAAGCCTGTATCTTTATAAGTCTTCATATATGAATAGATCCAAACATGCTGGTATAGATATAAATGGGGGAGAATATATAAGGATATGATCATATACCATATAGGATAATGTGGTGAGAAACATGACATCAACCAGAGAGAAGTTAAAGCAAGAATCGAATAATAGAATTCCAAATTTTGGAAGGAATCTCTAGGATAACCTCTGTATTATTATGGTTGGCGTACGATAACGGCCTCATAACTATCAGATGTGCCCTATCGATAGAGAGAAGTTATTCCCTCCTCATTATGGAAGGAAAGACTCTATCATACTTATAAGACATGAACACATGGTCTTCCACGATGTACCATAATCCTGCTCATAATTTGTCCATGGAAGCATCGGGCCATGAACATATAACCACAATCAATAAGCCTACTGGCATCGTGCGCCTCAGGAATCCTAGGCTATTATTGACACATGTTCAGAAACACTTGAAATTAGAATATTCTTCAGGATCTGCTCTCGGAAGGGATTATACATATATCCTGAAGAATAAAGGCAATATTGACAGTTGCTGTAAAGAGTCTTTGTTAGAGGATTTTCAGAAACGAAGTCTCACAACTACTGGGAATATTCTAGATAGGTGCCGGCGGGCGAATACTATACAGGAACTCACAAATAATGAAGCAATAATGTGTGGAAGCTCAAAAGGAGGATTATCAGGGGATGTAGAGCCGCGTTATTCTTTTGTACACGACATACGAAACATACAGATGGTTATGATTACACATAATCTGGACATTCTACAACAGATTCATCAAAAGATTAGATACATAAAACAGAGGGATCTAACTACCGGAATCAGCATTATCATAGAATATCATAGAGAATTAAGTGTGGCTGTTCAGGAGACTTTATCACTGAAAAATAAAACTTGCTGCACCCAAGTAAAACGTCAAGCAAAATATCTCCTGAGCCTTAAAGGAGAAATGCCGACAATCCATACGGTACTCCAAGGACTGAAGGGAAAAATCTTAGTAAGTATCGCAGTACTCAAAAGCCGGAATCATCAGCGAGCATTCGGTGGAATCCGTACTATAATCATCAGGCACAAGCCCGCCGTTATCAGTTCGGTGTGCGATCCAATACGTAAGATCACAGCGGCAGAAATAATACATACTTGTCGAACAATTCTAAATCGTCCCGCATTATCCTTATCATATAAGGCATACAATTCCATACGCCGGGGTAAACACCATCCGCATATTAGGAGGAGTGAGTACTGGTTACTGGGGATTGAAGTATATCGTCTGATGCTCCTTTTACGGATGCTGGTTGCATTTACACTGGAAGTATTACCGTTATTACTAGGCATCCCATTTACATCTGTCCCTTCTGTATCTTATGGACTCCTTGTTTTAGGCGTTATAGGATATCTCTATGTGCTTCTGAAAGTATCCGAATATGGACAGACATTAGATGGTATCAGTAAGCCTCGCTTTAAGGATTGTATATGAGGCATGGAGAAATACATGTGGGACAGGATCTCGGCAGTTTCCTCGAACATAGTAACGGATTATTATTGGATGCTATGTTGAAATGATAGCGGTGATCCTCCATCGCTGAAGGGGGATCGTAAGTCCGAAAACTCTTTTGTAAACTGAACAATTAGTCCCCTTTTTTTTCTTATCTTCCTATCTAGATCACATTTCAACTGTGTCCCGTATCGTAACATGGTATTTTGCCTTGAGTAAGACCCTTCTTTTAGCTTTACTTTAATATGGTCGTTATAAAGCCGTTGTTGTGGTAGGTAGAATTTTAAGGAAGGAGCCATCATCTTGTGGGTGTCCTGGATGTCTTCGGAATGTAGCAAACCTATATAGCTATATGGATGGCTCATCACTTAACCCGAATACGTCTCCTGGAATCAAAGTCTGGTATACAAAGCTAAAATGGCTATATAATTTATTCTTGTCATGACGACAAATTTCTCCTTCTTTTCTCTTGCGTCGACTTTTCTGAAGCTGATCAGGAGTATGTTTTATGTCTACCAAAAGGGAACTCACTGGTCGCATTTTATTAGCTTCTAAAAAGGACAATTCTGATGTCTTTGAACGTGCGGATCAGGAGAATTCAGGAGGGATTTCTATGACGGGTTATCAGTGGAATTATTATATGCCCTCCATCTTGTGTCTCACACTGGCTGTTTTTGTTTTCACTTGCGTTCTGGCTCTGTCCTGTTCAATCTCCATATATCTTATCTTTTCTCTCGAGGTTGATATTAGGAGGGACATGTGACTTCCTTTTTAATCTATGTTTTACTGACATCAAGAACAATGTTTTAATTCATTTGTTGCCACTCAGCACTGTTACCTTCTCTTTTTGCTGTTTTGTATTTTTTGTACTCTTTGTTAAAGGAAAGGAGGAGAATGAAGACGGGGTAGACACGTATTATAAACATTCTCACATTGGATGCATTAATAGAACGATATGTAATAGGGAATGTTTCTCATATGGCTCCATAAATATCTGTTACATCATTATAATTTCTTCCGGATCCTTCTAATTTCATTCGTATGCGTCCCCCTCCAGTCATTGTCAAGGGCATTACAGGACACAACACGCAATCGTGTGAACGACACCTGAAATGCCCCCGTGTTATCCTTCGTTTTTTTTGTTATTTCGCCTCTGTCTCTTCCTTAGAGAAGGAGCTGACCTATATACACAAAAATGATTTCATATACCATAAAGAACATGTCGCCGTCACATGTCCTATTAATTGATTTCAGGGAGAATTGGGAGAGTCCACACTGTGTGTAGAGCAGGCAATGGTTGGAGCGCAACGATTCTGTGATCAATTAGGAAAGGAGTATTACGAGATACCGGTGCACGAATCCCAAGGTGACTACTTTATAAACCGGGTGCTGAACTTAAGTTGAAACAAAGAGCAAGAGGAGGTCTCTGAGATAAAGTGGACATCCCGTTTCTGACTAGGGAGCGCCACAGGATATAAAAGAACAGGAGGCCTACCTTTGGCCGATATATGTCTGCTACCCTCTAGCCGAGAAGTGTCCGATACGTCACTGCCAATGTGCCACTATGCACATCGTGTATTCAACTGTACTCCTCACCCTATATTCCCCTGAACCTTGTCATCCCCTGCCATTTCCTTGTATCAGGAGAAGTTGATGACTGAACACTTGTTTCTTCTGTTTCTTCCTAAATGATACATTACGTACTACAGTTAATCCCTATTTATCTATTATTGGCGCCTATGTAGGCCGTATATCTGTTTTTCCTTTGCTCTGCAAGACGGCGAAGATCAGACATATAGGATCATCGTGTATTTCTATTTGGACCGTCCATTTCTCCTGTGTCCCCAGATTTTGTTCGTAGGAAGCAGTTAATATTATGATGTGCATAGGAGTTTTATGAGGTGACGTGTCTTGTCTTTATATTATGTAGAGAGATTAACCTGTGAATTCAATGAATGCTGCATATCAATATGGGAGAATAGGTTAGCTATTCACATAGTGAATTCACAGAGGATGCACACCAGTGCACGTCATGAGACGGTTTCGAGAGTACCTCTTGGGTCTTGTAAATTGCTTGCAATGGAGAATAATAAAGGGACGGTGGCAGGGTTCCGTATATATATAATATCTATACAGCCGGGGGGGCTCAGACAATAAGAACAGGTACATTGTACTATTCATTTATCTGCGCCAGAAATATTCTGTTACAGAGTTTGGCAGGAGGAAGATGTAAGATTCATGTATTTATAGAAGAATCCTATTGCATATTCCTCTTCACCTTATCTATATTTTATTAGGTAAGAAGAGTTAATGATAAGGGATAAATTTTATTTGAGACAAGAAAACACATAGGGGAGAGAGAAACCACAACAAAGGGACGTAAAATGCTCCATGGTGTAAAGATATTATTATATTTGTACCTAATATTTCATTGAGGCTGAACGTGTTCTACTAGCTCCAAGATGTTCTCAGCATACTTTGGCTGAATAAGGCCACGACACACATTCAGGAACATATCCAAGAAATAATAGGCGGAAATTGTAGTAACATTTTGTAGATAATGTAACGCACTAATAAGAAGAAAGGTATATATACTTGTACTGCGCTAAAAAAGGAGGTCATCCCTGATTATTTCGACGATTGCACTGCAAGAATTTTGACAAGCGCCTGTTCTCCTGTTATTTTCTCTTTGTGTTTTAAAATATCGCAAATATTAAGTGGCTTATTAGAAATCTCTATATAAGATTTCTTTACAAAATCAATAAATTATTCTTCAGTCACCCAAATATGCATCGATACGTAGATTGACCCCGTTATTGGTTTCATCTATTGTTAGTTATTTTATACTTGAAGATTAAATAGAGACATCATATAGCAAAGATCCATTCTCGGAGTGAAGGTGGTTTTGACTGATAGCTAAACAGTAATCAAGAAATATACCACCAGAAACAATAAGCAAATAAAGCGTAAGCATTCGACCTGATACACTATGACAGACCCCATGAACCATCAGACGTGAAATGTCATACACTAAACCTTAGAAGTAAGGCGCGAAACTTAGAGAGTAATAGATAGAGGCTAAGATAAATTCCTGAGCAATGAATGTTAAAGGATAAAACAACCTCCCCAAACAAATGATACTAAAACCTACGGGTTGAAAGCTAAACCTGAACATAAAATCAAGAGACCACAGTCGTGAAACTCGAACGGCAGTCCCTGAACCGAACCCCCTATAGCTAAAAGGCCAAATCAGGAACCGTGGAGAAGGAAAAGTAAGGCCAGACCCCTAAACCTAAACCCAAAATCCTAAACAATAAACCCAAAATCCTAAACAATAAACCCTGAACCCTAAACACAGAACCCCAGAACCCTAAGCACTAAACCCCCGAACCCTAAACCATAAACCTAAACCTAAACCTGAACCATGGAACCTGAAACCCGAACCGCTAATCCATAAAAGATGACCCATAAACATAACCCTAACCCCTAAAACTAACCCTAAAACCAAAAACAGATACCTGGACCCTGAACTCTGAAGCTAAACCTAGATGCTAAACCATAAAACCTAATGCATGTAACCTAAACCTAAGCCTGACATCCTAAACCCTGAACCCTAAACCTAAACCTAACCCTGAACCCTAAACCCTACCCCATGAAACCTAAAGCTAACACCTAAACCTAAAACAGAACCCCTCAAAAGGAAAAAGAAAGCATTGAAGCGTAAACGCCACCCATAAAGATAAGCCCTACAGCCTCACGCCTAACCCCTAAAACCTAAATACTAGAGACGAAACCTGATGCATGAAACATAAACCATAAAGACTAAACTGAAAACCATGAACCCTAAGCGCTAGACACTGATTCCTGAACCCTGGAACCGTGAGCCCTACACCCCAGGAACTGAAACCTAACCGATAAAATGGATCCACTAGAGCCTAGATCCTGAGCCCTGAACCCTGAAAAGTCAAGCGAGACCCCTAATAGGGTACCCCGAGACCGAAAGCACTGATGCCAAAAAGATGAACAGTAAGACAAGAACCCTAAAAAGGCTACACTAAACCCTAACCCTGAAAATAACCCCTACGAGGTAAAAACTGACTCGTCACCCCTAAAACCTCTACCCTGTAAACTGAACTCTCCCCCCCTCAAGCCTGACCAATAAACCCTGAAGCCTAAGCCCCTAAACATCACAACCTGAACCCTAGACCCTAAACCCTAAAAACGCCCTCCCTTCAAGGCCTTGACTCCTCCGGATTCGTCTTCCTCGTCTTTATTTCGGCCCTCTATTCCAAACCCCACAGCTCCTCCCGTTGTTAGCCCTATTGTTGCTCTCCTCTTCTTCCTCCTCCTTCTAGTTGGCTCCCCTGTACCCCACACATCTCAGGCGTGGCAGCTTATCCGTTTGGATAGGGGAATTTGGACTTCACGGCTAACAATAGCTTCGTTTTCCACGGAGGACATCGGGAATTCCTTGCCTCTATTCCCCCGGAGTCGTCCCTGCTTCTCCTCTATCTTCTCAGAACTCCTCCTCATCGGGTCCTGAAACTCTTCGGATGAGACGTCGGTAGTGCTACCTTCTCCTTCGGCTCTAGCTGTCCATGGAACCCCGTCAGCGTTTCGGGTTGTGTCGTTTGGTTTCTTATAGTGGTCTGCTTCGTCAGCCCAACGTCCTGACATAACCCACGCCCATCACCCTCTGCCTTCTTTCCTGGCTGGGCTTAAAGATCCTTTTCCATATATACCAGGCAAATGGAATCAGTCCCCCCCCTATCCCTGCACCTAGCAACCCCTTCACGACCTTCGCCACTGTGGTTTCCTCCGCGTCTCCTCCTGTGATCCCTAGGACCTTCTCCTTATCTTCTAGATATTTCTGCATTATTTGTTTCTCCTGCTGTTCGTCCTCCTTTCTGGTTACCTATTGAATATAGTTAACGAATTTGATGTTAATCTCACCCCTCGCCCTCAGGGAAGGATGGTTGCGTTTGATTGGTTGTTTTCCTGTTTCTCTACTGTTCTTGGGATCCCGGTTTCATTGCTGTGGAGATGTCTGTCTGCCTCGGGCTTTATGAAGATAAATCATCCTCTAGTCGTGCGAATTGTCTAATCCCTGACCTAACTTGGCCTCGATCCTCCGAAGCTACATCCATCCCCTCCTCCTTCGTCATCACCTCGATATCCCTCTCCTACTTTCTCCTGGACCCCCTGGGCTGTTCATTCCTGGGGTCGGGATTGTGGGGCCATAGCCCTTACCCTCACTCTGTTTGACGCTCCTCTCAAGTAACTTTTTAGTACTCCTATGCTCACCTCCCATTGCTGGAATGTGCTATCGTCAAGGATCTGACAGTCCCCTGCGTTCTTCACATAGACGCAGGAATGATCTGGTTGCTCTCCGTCGTGATATGTCCCTGGACACTGTACTCCCCAAAGATAGATTAGTTGGTGACCAATCATCCTCGCCCAGAATCTATCTGCTCGGTCGCTCATTTTTATCTTAACGTGGGTTGCCAGCTCCATCTCCTGCCCTTGTGAATACAAAAGTGCCATAAGACGTTCTGAGACCTTTTTCCCTCCCCACTCCTCGAACCATTTCCTTAAGACTTTGCATATATCAACGCCTTCATATTCTATGCGCCCGTCCTGTTGCTTCACGTTTTGGTAGACTGTCCAGATTATTGAAATAATGTCCATACAAATCATCAGACTCCTCTGCTCCTGCTTGTCAGGATCCAGTTCTGTCCTCTTGCCAAACTGAGTCCATCTCAGGTGGCTTGGGTTTGGCTTACATTTGTGTGCTCCTGCTGCTACCCCGGTCAGAGCAATTTCTTCTGCCTTGCAACTTCCTTCTCTTAAGGTGTCTTGGTGAAAGACTCGCCCCTCTAAACTTGCCATCCATTTCTCCACTGTCCGACAAATCATCTCTGCCGCCCTGTCTGTTCCAGGGACGACGGTGTTCGACGTCTTGGCCATTGTCATCCATCTGCTCCGACTACTCCCCACGGCAAACGAATGCCTGGCCTCCTTTAAGTCTGTCAAGCTCGTTCCTGCATACTGGTTTGTCCTCGTTTGGGTCCTCTTTTCGGCTTGATCCTCTAGGGACCTTAGATAGTCGTGGAAACTTGTCATCCCTGGTGCCTTATTTATCCTGTACCGATCCTCTTTCCTTTGCTTCTTGACCTTTGGGTTTTGCTTTCAGGGCCGTTATGATTCTTGGGAGGTGATGCTGCAGTTTCTGTTGTTTGTTTGACTTCTTCGCCTGATCTCCTGATACTTCTCCTTTCTCCATCACGTTTTTCTGTTTGGCGTGTTGTTTCTTTTTTCCGTTCCCTTCCCCCCTTTGTCGCTTTTGCCCTTGTCCTTCGGTCCTTAGCTTCCTCTACAGCCGGAAATAGCTGGTCCCGCTCTAAATTGTGATGGCCGATATTTGGCGTATTCACCTCACTTGTCCCCTTTCTCCCTTTCATGCCTCCCCTGATCCCCTTCCCTCGTTCTCGAGGTCCCGATTTGTCTGTTCTTTTAGTTCTTTCTTGCCTTTTTTTGCGCCTTCCTCTCTTGGCCACTGTGCTTCCCTCCTGATTCTCTATTTGGTAACACTGGCCGCCTCCTTCGCTTTATTCTGTCTTCTCCCTCGGAAGGAACAATCCCCACTTTCCATCCGCTGATTTTTTCCCGTGGCCGCGTGCGACTAATCTCCTGGGTGGTCTTTGACTTGGTGTCTCCTTCTTCTCCCTTCCCCGCCTCTCTATTCTGATAGGAGGAATTTGTCTGGAAGCAGTAAATCGTCTGGGGGGGGCCCCTGAGAGTTTCTGGGGCTTCACCACGATTTCGCCCGTCCCGTACTGTAACAGACTATCCCCCTTCTTCCTTTCGGGGATACTCCTATCCTCTGTATGTCGTTCTACTATGCCCGATCTTTGTCTCGGCTTGCTTCGATTTCCCGCTTCTTCGATCGACTTTCGCTGTTCCTGAATTTTTCCCCCTGGTCCTCTGCCTTCATGCTTTCTTAATATGAACTCTCCTGCCCCCTCGTGCTCCTTCCTTCTCCCCTGGGCCTTCCCTGGACCCCAGGGGTGCCACCTGGCTGGTTTCGACTCCTGCTTCTAGTGAACTTTTACCTTGTCCTTTGTTCTCTTGGGGGGGGGCCCCTATTTCTGTCCCCCGCTCGGCCCGCTGCTCTACTTTTCCCCTGTCACTCCTTTCGGGCCCCTTGGTGGGAGGTTGCCCCCTATCGATCCCTCACGTTCTCGGTCCCTCCTATCCTTCTTCTCCACTTCACGTTTCTCATGCCCCCTGCCTACGTCTTAACGGCTCCCTCGTCCTTACTCGCCGATGGCTCCTAGTCTTTCTTGTCGCTTCTCC